ATTTTCTATATTAAGATATTTTTTATCTTTCGACTTCTACTAAATAAATTTAAACTTTTTAGAAAAATATTTAATAAAGTAATAAATCCAGTTCTTATTAACTATATAAAATAGTCTATCAGTTATATTTCGCTGCAGTATTTAATTAATACTCTACTTAATTATTTCAGCTGTAGATAGATTATATAGATTATTAAGCTGATAAATCTAATAAATTAGTATCTTTTTTTATAAATTATCAAGTATCTTGATTAAGATAGAATATAAGAAAAGATTTACTCGGCTATAAATATACGCGCGGAGTTATTGATAAGAAATATTAAATTGACGCGCTAGCGCAGAGATATTAGACTTTTTCTGGTCTTGGATAATTGTACAGGTCTGTACAATCTGTATCTCAATATCAGAATAAGAATTAGATATAGTGGTGGTATATAGAAGCTTGAATAGCTTCAAATTTATTGTTTAGGTGGGAATTATCGTTTGGGTGAGGCAGACCAACACGCCGAAGTGCGTGGTGGGTCTGCTGACCTAAGAGACGGCTAGTAGTACCTAGTATAATGACAACACGGCTCTTCCTGATTGGATACTGCTACTAGAACCTCTATGGAGGTAGTAATAAACGGTCGAGTCCAACTACACATGGACCACATTATCGTAGAGACGCTATTCATCCCCTGATCATAGACATGGTAAATGAAATTGTCGAATCTGAGGAATCTTAAATCGCATGTCTTCATGAAGAGGAGCGGCAGGATGCTGAGGCCAACGAAAGTTAGCGTACTACCCAATTAGCTAACTCCAATACCAGCAAAGCCTGACAATTGATATGTGGTTCTTGCATCCACAGTCTCCTGTCACAGATGGCCTGCCTGGTAAGGGCCGTTGTACAACGAGACAGCGATGGCCGAGCTAGTCAAAGGGCGCTAAGATAAGAGTCCCGTTGGACCCTTTTATGTCCTTTCCGGCGCACCCGATGTGAAAGTGCGCAAGGTCGAGCACAGATAGGATTTAACTGTCATCTTATAGTTGCCTTTTCTAATCTCCTAGAATGACTCGTTCTAAACGCTTTTCGCGAAGAGGAAGAATCTCCGAAAGCCTATTAGGGTCACGCATAACGGCAGGAACGTCATCTCTCGTTGTCGCTAGAGTCTGTAAAGCAACTATTAGCCTCCTCGGGTTGATACAGCGCAACCTCTATCTATCCACTCCTTTTTATACGTTAAATTTCGTTGGCGGGAAGGAAATACCTGTCGAACTGTCTCATAGTCTAATTCCTTGGACTGGAACTCTCTGATCACCTCCAAGTTCTCGAAGTCGATATATACCCTTGTATCCCTAAGCCGAAACAGAACATTGTCGAGTCGTAGGAAGAATCTCGATAGTAACAGTAGCCTGGCTGGCATAACGCGAATTTTACAGGATAACATAGTGATGCCGTTATCAGCAAGTTCGTCTTCGTACAATATGACCTCATCAAAAAAGAGTATGGGATCCGGTCGTTTTAATAATTCTAAGGGGATGGATCTTGTCGTTGGTTCAAATGACCGACCATTAGCCTGAACGGTGCCAGTATAGTCTGTGGTGTAGGACCAGTCAAAGGGCTTTACAACCTCCTTGATGCCCTCATGTGTCTTTTCTCTGCGCACTAGTTAATAACCTATCACCAAAGGGACCTTACGCAAAGGATCCTCAGTACCTGCTTCTCTGCCACTCTTTCGAATAAGCGACTTTGAGCATCGATGCGCCAGTTTTGTCCACGCGATCCAAGGCATCATAGGCGTTGAAATTGATTCCCCAGCGGCTTTTCTCATGCTGAATTGTGACAAAGTTATCACCGAAGATCATTTCTGGCGGCGCAATTCCTAGCCTTTTTGTCATGTCTTCAATCGGCTCAGCTTTTAGTATCGGCTGCTTCTCTGTAGTGATCTTGAAGCCTTGCACGGAGATGGTGTTAGGTTTTTGAGTAGCGATGGACACCGCAGCAGGATTCCCCATGGTGAATGCAGGCATGCGAGAGCTCCTAGAACACATATTGAGCAAGTATTGCGAATGAAAAGATAGTAGGAAGTGCCTTGGCTCCAGGGGTTCCTTATCGAACTCACCATTTGCGGAGGATTGATTAGCCCCGCGGTGTCGGAGAAAGAGGTAGTCCGACGCGTTGCCGTGGTGACGTACTAAGGAGTGTAATGTGACAGAAAAGCCGAAGATACCTGATCTGATTCGCTTCAACTTCCTTGTCGACAACAGCAGCACCCTGCAGCCTCAATAATGTCTATGTAAACCACACAACTGCTAGACAGCTGCCCTTTTTTTCCCCCTTCCTATACTTTCCTCATTGCTTTCCTATAGCCTACTCGCCCTTCCCCCTTAGCGAAATTTTAGCCATGACCACCAAGACTTTGGAAAGCCGCTTCGAACATCTATCGGTCAAGGACGAGAATGTATCAAACAACAGCTTTGGCACCTACGCGAAGAATAAAGTAAGTACTGCCACTTCACTGTACAGTGCATGGAGTGTTTTTTTACTTATGTTGGTGATCAGGGCTCTCTGTCAACGGCCGTCTCCCTGTCAGGACTTGGGACCACGGCACCGTTGAACAATAGCGCCAATCGGTCGAATTTGCTCAAGCTGGCTCTGCAGAATACAAACGACAATAAGGTCAATTCGATAAATATTAGTTCATCTCCTACCAAGGGTACACTATCGCATCGCAACGTAGATGAAAACGGTGACCAACGCCAAACATCGCTTTACGACCAACCAGCACCGAAGAAGCTACATCTGGGAATGTTTGAAATAGGAAAACCCTTAGGTAAGGGTAAATTTGGTCGTGTCTATTTAGCCAAGGAACGATCATCCGGCTTTGTGTGCGCTCTTAAGGTCTTGCACAAGTCTGAATTGCAACAGGGTGGGGTGCAAAAGCAGGTCCGAAGGGAGATTGAAATCCAGAGCAACTTACGCCACCCGAATGTTTTAAGACTCTATGGTCACTTCCAAGACAGCAAGCGGATTTTTCTGATTCTTGAATTTGCCGGCCGGGGAGAACTGTATAAACACCTGAGAAAAGAGCATCGATTTCCAGAGTGGAAGGCTGCTCAGTATATTGCCCAGATGGCCGCTGCTTTGAAATATCTGCATAAGAAACATGTCATGCACCGTGACATAAAACCGGAGAATATTCTCGTCGGGATCCATGGTGAAATCAAGATCAGCGATTTTGGATGGAGTGTCCACGCACCCAACAACAGGAGGCAAACAATGTGCGGAACGCTTGATTATCTGCCACCCGAGATGCTCAAGCCAGGCTCGCAGGACAATTACTACAGTGAAAAGGTTGATTTGTGGAGCTTAGGTGTGCTGACTTACGAGTTTTTGGTCGGAGAAGCTCCATTTGAGGATACTCCTGTCATGACACAAAGACGGATTGCACGAGCAGACATGACAGTTCCTTCGTTTGTGAGCCCCGAGGCAAAAGACTTAATCAAAAGAGTATGTTCGAACCTCTGGAAGGCAACTGAATGCCACCTCACATGCTTACTCCTCATAGTTACTTGTTCTTGATCCCGAAAAGCGTATTTCGCTAGATGAGATCCAAAAACACCCTTGGATACTCAAACATTGTCTTAAAGACGACCGAGTTACGAAAAGAAGTTCTGGCTCCTCAAAGGAAGGTAAAGTATGAGGTGTTATCCATGCATTTCAGCGGGGGTTTGGAGTTCTTTAGGTTTATTTGCTTTTATGAAGGAGTCTGGAATATGGTGTTGATTGTTATTTTCGGTCTGGTTGCATCGAACATAATATACATGGAAATTCCGGATAGAGAAATTAAACAACAAGTAGAGTCGTATCAGGTAGGCTAGAGAGCACGTGGTATCATCGGTAAATTTCATCGAACGGCCGAGTGTCTCTGAAGCAACTATCCCAAACTTCGTTTACAACCCTCTCGGCGTGAGCTTCATCCTTGCATGCAGGCCTTGCCCGCACCGACAATATCGCTCTTCTTTTGACACATTCCTGATGTTGTTGTGTGAATCGCCATTGGCCTCGTCGAAAGAACTCCCGCGCCCATCTGCATTCCCCACTAAGTGAGCTGGCCCGTATCTGAACTATAGTCAGCAAAATCTCTGTAGGGGACTCTCAGTAGTTGGTACCTCAGTACACGCTGCATGCCTCAAGTTATCTGCCCAGTTAACTTTAAATCTCAAGTGATCATAAGCATGGACCATTTCGTGAGCCATTGTGTCCTCGAGATGTCCTTGGTCTTTCATCTCATTTGCGCAAAGCAGGATCCCAAAGTCCGGGTCAAAGCCTCCCGCTTTCCTGTTCGTACACCGACGACAGTAGATATTGTGGCTAGATAAGTCGCCTCCGAGTTGTCGAATGTTATCGCTTAGATAACGGATTACAGGGCCTAAAGCGCGAAGATTTTAGCAACTATCCGGTCTTCTAGAAGCCGTTCGAGATGGGATATAGAAAACTCACTCCACTGCAGAAGGTAATCACGCTGGTCCTCGCAACGCTTGCAATCTGCGGCTTCATTTCGAATGTCTCTTGCGACACGAAACTGTTCGACCCCTTCACCTGACATTTTCCCCGTCAAGATTGCAAAGATATTGCGCCATTGTGTCCATGTGTCATCTCCTGGTAGAAACCCAGTACTATGAGTACTTACTGGAGGTTTTGAGGTCGTAGACTGTTGTGATTCTGACATCTTGGAGGAAACAGAACATTGAGCCCAACAATCTCACTACGTCTTAACATGCTGAAGCTCAGCATGCGGAAGAGAGTTTCGCCGATGCTCTCCGCACAAACTGGCGGTAACAATTGGCAGTATATTTTATATCAATCGCATGACTCCGACTCCGGAGTTTGCTTGGCTTTCAGAAGAGAGAGGCGCTTAAAACCTAGAAGCAACGTCTCATTTGAATACAGTGTACGAGAAGCGCTCTTGCATGTTGGACTTTGGCTATATTAGGGGGCCCAATTTACCATGGCCTCTCGACGTCTCACAATCGTTATCAAATTAGGTGCGGGGATCAGTCCGACTTAACAATGCACCTAGTTTTAAAGAATATCAACTCATGATTTTCCAACAGGGACGAGTTCCATAGTAGATGAAAGCACCCATGAGCCGATACTTTCGATTCTCACTCTGATAGTTGAAACCGCAGCCAAACTTCGCCGGGATGGCCACAATGTTGTTCTTGTTTCCTCGGGCGCTGTTGGAGTGGGGTTACGGAGGATGGATGTCGAAGAAAGACCCGAGAGTTTGCCTCGCATTCAGGTACGGACAATTATATGTGCTGTGTTAGTTAAAAAACATTTACTCATATTATTTGCCAGGCACTCGCGGCTGTTGGACAATGTAGACTCATGAGCCTCTGGGATGGTTTATTTTCGCACCTTCGCATACCAGTAGCTCAGATTCTCTTGACTAGGAACGACATAGCAGATGTAAGGCCCAAGTGTTCATAAATAATATGGTAAGCGATGCCTAACTTATATTAAGAGAACGCAATATGTCAACGCCCAAAATACCTTTTCACAGCTTTTTGATATGGGTGTGATCCCTATTGTCAATGAAAACGATACTATAGCTGTTTCGGTAAAGCCTCAGACCAGAATTATGTCAGTGTGATGGAACCTAATCATATGCTTTACCTAGGAAATCAAATTTGGTGATAACGACACACTGTCGGCCATAACAGCTGCAATGGTCAAGGCCGACTACCTTTTTTTGATGACGGATGTTGACTGTCTTTATACTGCTAATCCACGCCACAACCCAAATGCAAGGCCCATCGAAGTTGTCTCAGATATATCCTCGTTGGAGGCTGATGTATCCTCAGCTGGATCGTCCCTTGGGACTGGGGGGATGAGCACTAAAATTGTCGCCGCAAAATTAGGAACTAGTGCTGGCGTAACGACGATTATCACCAAGAGCTCGAAACCCGGAAACGTTCATGAGATTGTAAAATATCTCCAGCAGGTTAAGCAAGAAGAACATGCACCCACAACAATGAATGAAGCAGTCACTGAAGTACCCCCTCTGCATACACGCTTCCTTCCTTCTGATCATCCGGTTCAATCCAGGACATTCTGGCTGCTCCACGGTCTGAAGCCCCATGGAGCCATATTCATTGACTACGGCGCATACAGTGCCCTCCAGAAGAAAGCCAGTCTCCTACCAGCTGGCGTTGTGGGTGTAGATGGTCATTTTGCGCAACAGGAAGCAGTACGTCTGGTTGTAGTACAGAGGCTCTCCCCTGATTCATTGAATGGCGATTTTCTCCACCCCGGCCAGGAGCCCAAAGAGGTTGGGCGTGCACTGGTCAACTACGGCAGCCTCGAAATCGAGCGCATCAAAGGGCACAGGAGTACTCAAATTCAAACTTTGCTTGGATACGCAGATAGTGAATATGTCGCCCTTCGAGAAAATATCTCCTTCTTTCAACAGGATGATCCTCCATGGCGGTAGCCAACCGTTGGTTTAGGTAAATGAAATAACTGCTCTGCCTAGCTTTCATACTACGGCTTCTTGCCCTGCATTTAGTGCCATCAGGGCGATTTTCTATCCTAGGATAACACTATGATACCTAAATATCTTTCAAGGTTTATGCTTACAACAGCGCTGTATATAGATGAGCACCGGGCTTGCATGAGCGTTCCATTTCTCAGATATTATAGATATACCACATTCAGTCAACCCAAACCTAGAAAATCAAATATAAGCCAGACACCGAACGCAGCTGTCTCAACGCCACAGGAAAGGCGACCAATTCCAAATCAATGCAAAATCACAAGAACAGCCAGACAATTGTTAACATACAGTCATGTCCATAATAGCCAGGCCTTGTCATTTTCTTGTACTGCCGATATTCAATCCTTCCACCTTTCCAGAAATCTTTTCATCTTCTTATCATGAGGATGTGGTGCAGGGGATGCCTATACAGCTGGTCAGTTACAATAATGTCGACTTAAAAAATCAAGCCTTGCGATACATACAGTATTCTCAATACTGGAAACGGAGTACGTTAAAGAAGCTGACACTGTAGTCTGAATTGTAGGCGCAGAAAGATATGCGGTAGCGATGTCGTATGCGCTGGTCGGAAATTGCGGAGTTGGCGACCTATCTGTTGGGATTGTTGACCCAGGCTTTTTAGCCATGGGCGCATATCTTGTAGGCCCAGTCTGCAATTGGTATGGAATTGTATAGGCATCAGCTGCTTGCCTTTTCTGCGGTTCATGTTGCCCATGGCCTTTGTTAAGTGAGCCAATGCCATCCTCCAGATTCGACGGGAAAGCGCCGGCCATGTCTGTAAGCGTGAAACGATCGGAGAAATTGATTACATGGGCGTCGGGACCAGATGCAACCATTTTCAGGAAGCTGCAGATAAAAGCCATTGTTAACAGGATGAGCTGGCGAGCTCCGGAGGTGGGCCTTATTCTTACTATGCGTTTGGTTCGTTTCCGCCAACTGCTGGATCAATTTTAAAAGAAACCGAGTTGCCGCGGGCAAAGACACCGTCTTTGATAAGAATAGCCAGGTCCTCCTATACGGCCCCTCGTGGTCAGTGAAAGGTTCACTGGTTTATGGAGACGAGGCTTTAACAACCCACCTGGGATCCCAATGTGTCGCCGCCCGCACAGAGATAAAGGTCATACTGTACAAGTTCGGAGATTCGAGGAGACTCGCCAGAGTCCTTCCAGTGTGCTGTTACTATATCCCCGGCCTTCATTATCGTATCACGCGCTGGCACTGTGAACTCGACATCTGCCAGCGCTGTCGAAAATAGAGGGAGGACCACAGGTAACGAGCGCATGAGTCTCATACTGGATACGGACTCTAATATCTTTCGACTGGGGCGGCTGAGCAACAAGGAACCATCAAAGGAATGGCGAAGGATGGACAGGAAAAATGAGCGAATGAAAGAAACAAAGAAAGCCTGCTCTTGGTTTCGTGTACGACAATTACTACCAGATCACTAACCCTACCGCCATCCCTGCAAACCGGAGGTATGTGAGATTGACGAGGTTGGATTGATGAATTTCAATGCTTGATCGTGGGAGACCACGTAATGTAATGTATGTACATACATATAAACTTCCATATACAGCGTAGTACAGTACAGTACATGTTTACGGAGTATATGATACCATTATTTCATGTATTGTACTATGCCTCGTATAGGTGGTAAAACTGGAATCTAGGCCCCACGCGAATTTTTACTAGTCATTTCCATGTTTTAAAGAAGAATCTACCTACGGAGCACAATTATAATAATACTCCGTATTTATGCTGGACAAACTCCTCTCCAATGGCGGTGGCCTGATGTACGGGATAATGTCTGCAGCAGCCGGTAAATAATTCAACGAGCTTGCTTACCTACTCCGTGTGTAGTAACTAACTAGTTAGTTAGTTAGTTAACTTATTAGCTAACCCCCGGAAAGTGACATTAATTTACTAGTGCGACGACCATTAATCCATCATTCTAGCTTAGCTCTCTACTGTCGGGTTATATCTCGTCGGAAGCACTTCTCAGATCATTCCCATCATCCATCCTATCCGCTGAGATGGGGAGTCATGCAGATTGGAGATCAATCGGCGGCATTGCTACTAGTCTGCTCGATGGAAATCCTATCGCTATTGCCATTACCGCATTTATTGCATTCGGGCTGCCAGTACTGTTACATTTGATTTTCTATCAAGCTGTTGCCTCCCCGTCATCTAGCAACTTCTTACTGCTTGGACCCAGCGGAGCAGGCAAAACTGCTCTCTTGTCCCTGGTAAGCCTATTCAGCATGAAAAACGTATGGGTGGTGAAAACGGATGCTGACACGTTATCCTGTGACTTTGACAGCTTGAAACGAAATCGTCGCTTCTTGCGAAGAAGCAGACTCAGCTAACGCATACTTCCCAGACGTCTATTCTAACCACCGTCAGCCTTCCCGCCTCCGTTCCCACTGCCTCAAATCGCTACCGGTCGGTCAATGACCCATCCTTGAAGGACACATCCAAAAACCCTGTCAAATACCGCGTGAGAGATACCCCTGGCCATGGTAAACTACGGGGACCCCAGGGTATCTCGCAACTTTCTTCCATGTTAGACTCGAAAGACCCGAAATCCAAGTTACGTGGGGTTATATTCACTGTTGACACCGCCGCTCTTTCTGATGTTGAAGTGTTGCGCGATACAGCTTCATATCTGTACGACATACTTCTTATTCTTCAAAAACGGGCGTTGAATAAAGGCAAGTCGTCTCTTAAGGTGGCTTCCGAGATTCCCATTCTTGTGGCTGCCAATAAGCAAGACCTTTTCACCGCTCTGCCACCTGGCTCTGTGCGGGAGAAGTTAGAAGCTGAAATCGACAACATACGCAAGTCCAAGAGCAAGAGCCTCATGGATGCCAGCGTTGATGCTAGCATGGGTGACGGTGATGATGATATTCTGGGTAGCAATGATGCGCAAAATACATTCAGCTTTAAACTCTTGGAGGACGAAGTCGGCGTGAGAGTTGATGTCGTCGGCGGCGCTGTTAAGGGTGACGAGGGGAGTGATCTTGGATCTGGTGTCAGGAAGTGGGAAGAATGGGTTGGCCAGTGTCTGTGACCTAAACTGTACGCCTTAGTTACGACTTTACAAGATGCACTCGATCTGAAATGTGCGAACGGTTTCTATGTTACACAACTAAAGAACACATGAGACTAACACACCTGGATATTAACCCCAGGATGCTGCTATAATGATAAAGAAAAATGAACTTCTTATTAATATGACCTTTATTTATCGACGGTACGGGCTTGGTCTAGTTCTTCGGGGCTTAGAGCCTCTGCTGCTTTGATCTCTATCCAGTCCTGTAAGTAGGAAAAAAAAACCCACAAAGTCAGTAGTGATCTAGCATGGAGGAAGCGCAATAAGAAGCGTTCGTTATGGGAGGAAAGGCCAGGGCTTACCCAAATACCACGAGTGAGTTTCATGTCACTAGCAATGGCAGTTGTCTCGTACGGCTTTGCAATAGGAACGAAGTACTGACCATGAGTGCCGTTAGATATCACCTTCGGGCTCGCGGCCAAATAAATGGCATTTGCAGCACCATCTTCCAAGCTCTGACCAATGATTGAGAATAGGTGCCTAAGCAAGGAACCCAGGGCTTCTCCAACATACTCATCCCAGACACTCCACTGATTGGTAACGATGTTACCTGGGAAAAGGGCATTAACGTAAATCTTGCTACTTGCTGGATCCTCTTCCTGCATCAATCACAAGCTCAGCTCCCTTGCAAAGAGTATGTTCCCTACTTTCGCGCGAGCATAACGCTATATACTGTCGATATATGCTGGCTTAGGACGAGTGGGTGAGGTGAGAAGGTCGAGGTTGAGCTCACGGCATAGTGAGTGCATAGACGAACTAGCTACCTACCACAATTCTCCCATTGCTAGCCCTTGCCTTGAGCGAAAGTACCCTTCATGAGGGGCAGTAGATTGGTTGCCAACACCTGATGGCCAACGCAGTTCGAAGCAAATACCTGTTCAATACCCTGCGGCGATCGTTCATACTTGGTTGATACACCAATGACTTTCGCGGTTCGAACATCAGCAAATAATCTTTTATATACACGTGCATACAGAGAGAGACAAGAGTGAGCTCCGTCAATTGGGAATGTGCTAAAGAAACAGTGAAGTGCAAAATGTACCGGCATTGCATATCATGATATCAAGCCTGTCAGTTCTCTGCTTGAGTTCATTGGCTGCATCCTTGGCAGCCACTATATCGGCGAGGTCGCATTGAATGAACTGAATTCTCGTATTATCCTTCCCCAGGGAACTACCAATACGACGCTGCCAGTCCTCCTGCGCACGTAGATACCTATCATGGCTTCGGGCAAGCACATAAATCTTCTCAATTCTGTGCAGAAGTAGCTGTGCAGTGATTTCTAGATCGACACCCGCGACTATATTTAGTGGGTGTGCTAAATAATAGGAAAAGCCATTGCTTGCCCTTTCCTATGCCTGCGTGACCACCCTGGATAAGTAGAATGATCAGCATTGGACGCCGTGGATGCGATTTTCGCCCCCGGAGCCAAGGTACACAGAGCGAGTTACATGCGTGGACTGATCTTCACACTTACTGTTACAACGGCCACTTTGTTGGTCAAGGATGGAGTATCATATAGGGAGAATTGCCGATAGGTAAAAAGGCCAGACATTTTATGAGGTAGAGATGGGCTAGGTATGGAAAACAAAAGCTAGACCCCACGGGAAATATACCAAGGTTCGATACCCATACGTCAGATATACATAAAGTCCAGGATTTTGCCGTTGAGGTCACCACTCTATCACTACCAGGATAATCTAGGCGCATGTGATGTTAATTTAAGGTAGTCCCTCTATTCGTAAGTTCCCCTCTATTAGTCGCATAAATGACACCACGTACAATAGAATAGACGTTAGACTTCCTGGCATGACGAAGCGTAAAATGAACAAACACAGTACAGTACATACGAAACGTAGCATAGATAATTTCTAGTCTCGCACTCCAAGGATACTGATGTTCATAGCTCGAGTCATTAGGCCGATTCGTCCTTATGATGAAGCATCCACGTAAGTAGATCGACCTTTGTTGCAACTGCCACTGGTCTCATCACTCCATGTTCGTCCCTTTCAGTAACTACCGCAGCACTGTTCCATTCAAAGAACCGATTCAATACGCTGAGCGGTGTGTCCATAGTGATCTCCACAAATTTCCGGTCTTTAATCCGGGGCTCCGAGCTATCCGGCGTGGAACTAGTCAAACCCATATCTCTTGGGTCAGTGACTACCTCGGAGATTTTACTGAAGTTAAACATAACATCTGACACAGGGCTCTTCCCAGTAGCACGTCCATGAGTGAGTCGACTGAGAACATTCCCTAGAGTCACTAGTCCTACGAGCTTCTTGCCGGAAGGTGCAAGCACTGGCAGTTGGTCGAATCCGCGATCTCGCATAATTTCGATGGCAGTTTCACAAGGAATATTTGACTGGACAGTTGTGATGGGCTTTAACCTCAGCGACTTGACCTTTGATCCAGCGAAGGCATCCCTTTGTTCATGGGACTGCAGTGTCGAGGGCACGTCCGCAGCTTCGACCGGGGGCGATGTCAGAAGTCCATTAGCAGCAAGCCAGTCGTCGTCAGCAAACTGATGCTAGTTAGCGCAATAAGTCCTCAACCAAACAATGAGAAATTCAGAGACCTTAGTTAAATAGCTTCTGATGCTGTCGGGCAAAATGACAACAATCACATCTTCTTTCCCGAAGTGGTAGTCCTTCGCCGCTTGCGCCAGAGCCGATATGGCGCTTCCACTACTTCCTCCTACAAGGAGGCCCTCTTCAGCAATTAACCGCCGGGCGTACTGGAATGAATCTTTATCTCCAGTTTTGTACCACTGGTCCACGGCTTGCTGGTCGAGCACTTGGGGAATGAAATCATACCCAATTCCCTCGACTTTGTATGGTTCGTTTACATGGTCTTCGTTTAACGAGGGCGGCAACGCTAAGATGGAACCATGAGGATCAGCTGCAATCACCTTGATACCGGGGTTATGCTTCTTCAGGCCCCGAGACAGTCCAGTGATTGTTCCACCAGTTCCTGCGCCGGCGACAATGGCCTTGATTTGACCCTTAGTCTGCGTCCAGACTTCTTCCGCAGTGCCCAATTCGTGGGCCAGCGGGTTATTCTCGTTCCCATATTGGTCCAGGATATGCGCATTCGGGAGTTCCTTCTCAAGACGCTTGGCGACACCGATGTGAGATTCCGGCGAATCGTACGCGGCTTCATTAGGAGTACGGATGATAGTTGCATTCAACGCTTTCAATACGGCCACCTTCTCAGCTGACATCTTCTCCGGGAGGGTAATTATGGTCTTGTACCCTGTCATAAGTCAGCGAGAGTTAATAATCCAGCATGCATCGTTCAGCAGATGATGGCCTACCCTTTACAGCGCCGACGAGCGCCAAGCCAATTCCACTGATTTAGCGATTAGCAAAAAGATATTATATAGGAACCAATAAGCTTGTTGATAGACCTACGTGTTACCGCTAGTGGGTTCGATGAGAGTATCACCAGGCTTTATGCGCCCCGATCGTTCGGCCTCTTCGATCATGCGCAGAGCAATCCTATCTTTCACACTCCCTCCAGCATTGAAGTATTCTAATTTCGCATAGACAGTTGCCTCAATCCCAAGGCTACGTGGAAGTCTATTCAAGCGCACAAGGGGCGTGTTGCCAATGTGCTGAGTGATTGAGTCAAGTGCCACCGGAGGGATGGCTGGCGTAGTAATGCAAGACATTTTGATGGGGATTCGAGCAATGTCTAGCAAAACAAATTTAGGGCAAAGGGAACTAAGGGAACAAAAAGAAGAAGAAATTAAAGGAAGGCAAAAAGAGGAAGAGAGAAAGAGTAAAATATGGGGGAAGGGTTCAACAAGGATCAGGGAAAAAATCTCGTAAGATGTTACACACCCCGCCCGAAGATAACCGTTGTCGCCACATTCTAATATTGTAATGATTCTTCTCATATGATATGCTATTAGTATTATTTATCTATATACATTGCGATCCAATGATACTAAAGACATATTTGCAATGCACCTTGTGGTGTGAGTAATTAGCATGCCGCATATCTAACAGTAGCAATTTATTTACTAGGTAGTTAATTGTTTTGATCTCCTTTACCCCTCCTAGGCAGATTTCGATCTGCCCAGCGTGACCAATCGTGATTCGTTACCACCACATTTATGCTTGATTAAAATTAAGCTTGGTCCAGACCATCCCTACTTTTACGAGGTATCGAACTGACTTTGTAGAACATAGATAAATAGATATATTATTCACACATTCATATGCATAGCAGTATCCAATCTTTTAAACCCATCCTGTAATGCAAATTGTGGAAAAGAGAAAGAAGATGTTAAGGTACACTCCTCGATGTTTGTCCGCCAACATGGCAGGCCACCTGGATTTAGTATCAGTTGGAAATTGTGGGTTTTCCCTTGCTGTTTGAATTAGGTTGAGTACGTAACAATCAAATCCATACACCTCTCCTCTTTTTTTCTTTTTCTTTTTCATTTTCATCTTTTTTTCCCCTTGTCTTTTTTGTGTGGAGAAGGGAAACAGACGGAGGGGATGGTGTGAAAGTTTGGGCCTCAATTCTACCAAGTTGTAAGAGGTGGCTGGGCATCGGGAGCTATGGGCGGAGTGGTCTCTCCATAAGGGATCCATCCTCCACTCCAGCTCGACGACTTAAACTTCAAATAGGAGATTCTCGTTGTACATACACATCTGCAGTCCATCTCAAGTACGTTCTAACTTATATATATCACCTGAACATCCTCATGTTCCTGAGAATCAAATGTTCACTTTCTACATAAACATGAACGACTCCGTAATACGTGGTGGACGTATGTATATAACTACTAGTCTAGCTGCAACGGGACGGTCCAAGTGGTTTCAGACCCTCTGAGAGCCACCAAATCTCATCTAGTGATTCGATAGCATGCATAGCCATTGGCGTGCCAAGAAAAGCCTCACCACATCGACCACCGATCCATCGCCTGCGCCTCCTTCGGTAAATAGTGCTAGCTTAGGGGTTTTGAAACGAAAATTTTGGAGATTTTTACCTCCGTACTTTGTAGTTACCAAGCTTCTCGAGCACCAGGGGTTGTGTGACACCGAACGTTTCTTTTTGTCCAGCAAACCTTAATATACTTAGTTTCTCTGCTTCTTTCTTTGACCACGGAGTTTGATGCCATCCCACCGCATCGACTGGTAAAAGGGGAAAGAAGAGAAGAAAAGAAGCACAGCTCCATAAACCTTAAAAACAGCCTTAGGGTGCAACCAACACCAGTGTTTGTTTCCTTCTAATTTGTTATCTCTGTCTCTCCCCATTGATTTTCCTCCTCACTTTTTGTTCCAAGGGCATCCGTTAAACATGCTATAATATATCTCTTCCTAGACGTGCTTTTGCCTCATTATCTCAATAATCCTTCTCTTTCTCCTTCTCCTCTTCGTTTACTTTCCTCTGGCATCTTTGTTAAACACACCTCCTCAAAAAGCCTAACACCCACGCAGCTGCTATCATATCTCTTACTTCAGAAACAAGCAGTTAGCGCTCCGGGTGATCATGGGTAGCATAGAGGAATTGTCTGTTACACGACAAGAGGGACAGGGCAACGAAGGGTTGAGAATCGCCCAGCCGGCGGGCTCACACGATGGTTCCCTACTCCCTACACATACTGAGAAGGCTTCCCTTCACCGCAATAGACTGTTCCGTATAGATACAGCTGGTGAGAGCGGGCGAAGCGGAATTCACCCAATTCACTTCTTCCGGGTGTGCTTCAAGAGTACTTGTACCCTGTCAATGCTGGTGAATGTTCTCTGGCCGTTTGTTCCAGCGGCTATCGTCATCCACTTCGCTAGGCCCGATCTTCATATCTGGATCTTTGCTCTTAACTATATTGCAATGGTTCCCTCAGCAAACTTGCTTGGGTTCGCAGGAGGGGAGCTCGCGAAGAAGTTACCTAAGGTTCTCGGGGTTCTGTTGGAGACAACGTTAAGCTCGGTGGTAGAGATTGTCCTCTTTATGGTTCTGATACATAATGATAATAACGGCACCCTGATTCCTGTCATTCAGGCAGCGATCCTCGGTTCCGTGTTGGCGAATCTCTTGCTTTGTCTAGGCCTGTGCTTTTTCTTTGGGGGCATGGGGCGTGAGCATCAGTCGTTCCATGAGGCTGTGAGTGAAGTGGGGACTGGGCTCCTCCTAGTTGCCGGCTTCGGTCTCTTGATTCCGAGTGCTTTCTTTTCGGCTCTGAGCGCAAACAGCTCTAAGACAACCATTACAAAAGAAGTCCTGACCCATTCTACCTTGGTGATCAGCAGGGCCACTGCAGTTATCCTGCTAGTCGCTTTTCTGATGTGAGTTTATAAAGTTAAGCGTCGTGACATACCACCTTACTAATATTCTTAGGTACCTGGTTTACAACCTACATAGCCATCACAGTATATTCGATGAGGTCCTTGAACTAGATGAGCATAAGGATGAAGACCGGGAAGAGGAAATGAAGCGTGCAAAGCTTACGCTAGTCGAATGCTTCGTGGCTATCTCGGTATCTATCGCATGTGTCTGCATGTCTGCCGTTTTCTTGGTTCAGGAGATTGAACATATTGTCCATGAAAGAGGCGTTTCCGATAATTTCATGGGCCTAATTCTTGTTCCCCTGGTAGAGAAAGCAGCGGAGCATTTGACTGCTATAGATGAAGCCTGGTAAGTGCAATATTACACACATACTCATCAAGGGTGAGGTCATCATCGCCTGACTCTGCGCAGGGATAACCAAATTAACTTTGCACTCTTCCACTGTCTCGGACCATCTATTCAGACCGCTTTGCTAAATGCTCCACTTGCGGTCCTCGTCGGCTGGGGACTTGATAAGGAAATGGGTCTTAACTTTGAGATCTTTATGATTGTCTTGGTAGTATTATCCATTTTGGTCGTCGGAAACTTCCTACGGGACGGCAAGTCAAACTGGCTCGAGGGAGGCCTCTGTGTGCTTATATATGTGATCATTGCGGTCACTACATGGTATTACCCCCAAATCGAGACCGAGGGAGCATCCACCCACCATGAAGCATGACCGTGCACATGTTCACAATGAACTGAATTTGTTTGTGGTCCTTAGTGGGAAGTAATTTATTTGAAGAGAGGAGGTGCTGCGCATCTTCTAGGGGGTCCATTTTATTGTCACACAGTTTGTATAATTGCAACGCTAAATTATAATGAATGATAAGGCATTAGGTTCATTCTACGAGTGAGCAGTTGAAGGTACCTTAAACATCACGTAGCTGATCATGTACTACCTAGCAGTGGTTGGATAGATCGTTTAGTTAGTTCATGCCGATAATGAAAAGCGGTGACGCATGGATCCCGACCTCCTTGCCCAAACAACAGATTAACACACCAAACCCAAAAATGAGTTTGTCAAACGACCAAGCGAATACTCTGATCATCGCCTTAAAAGATCGTGATATTCCATTGAAATGTGCTGAGGTTGAAGCAGCTTTTACCGACGAGAAGGAAGCTGCCGAGAACGAGAAATGGGTGATGAAGCACCTGAACCACGACACTCTTTTGTCCCAAGAGGAGCTCACTCTGTGTGTCTGCAGACTTCCTTCAATATATTAGGCGTAGTCAAAGGTTAGCATGCTAAGTATTTTGGTTATATAAATAGGTATACAAAACTCGAAAGTGCCGGATCTTTACAGAATATTATTCATAACCCCGATACGAATGCGGACCGACCGTTCCTCGATGAAGACATTCGGAAGGCGATTGGCTCGCTGAACGCTTCAACCGCTGTGGTCCAGAAGCAAAAACAGATTTTAGCATCCCAATGCGACAATATAAACGAAGAGCGTCGTATAGAAGGTGAGCGAGGAGTCAGACACAACATTGGCATAGAACACCTGCGTCAGAGATACAGATCAGAAAGACAAAGCACGAGTGCCGCGGTAGTGATCGCCCTCGATCTTAAATCAAGATACCCTGCTGATTTATATGTTTTCAGTCTATTGAATTGGCCCAGGAAGTGAAAGCGGGCTTGAAGATCGAATCAGAGAACACAGCAGTGGATAGTAAAAGGATATTGTCAACTCTTGCAGCTTGGCTAAAGGAGGAAAATAGAGTACTAGCGGATCTAGAGCAGCTTGGATCCGGCATAGGACCTACTGGAGATGACGCCTCTGTAGTGAAACGGACCTCCGAGTTGAGCACGACACTTGCCCATTGTCTTGCAGAAGAAATACAATGTCGGCTCGATCGAATTTACTTGGAGAACATTCGAGCCGGTCAATTCAAGGCCAAGCAGAAGCTTGATGATGATGCTATTGATGAAGTTTCAGTCGCACTGGAAGGAGAACTAGAGTCGCTGTATCCAGAGATTGACATTCTGGCTGAGGTGTATACAAAGCAACAGTACACTGCACCTGTATCACGCGCGCTCCAAAATCATCACGACCAGTTGCACGTTGCTTCCCACAAGAAACTCAATTATGTAAGTTAACCGTTGACCACAGTTGCGTTGACTAAACAGGCATAGATTTTAGACCTGGTCGCCGCTCTGACATTATCTACGGAACGTCTCACCAAATCCCTGCAAGATCGCGAGTCATTCTGCGGAACTCTCGAAACTTTGAATGCTACATATCGAACTAAAGTAGGGAATCAGTTTCATGCAATATCTGTACCGATACGAGAGGATTTTAGGAGAAGTTCGATTCAACCAACGTCGACATTCACGACTTCCGTGAAACGCATCGATTCACTTTCCGAGTCCCATGCCCTCGCCGCTGTCTTGCGCCACACAGGCTTATCTGCCGAGTCGGTGTTTCAACCTGAGGAAGAAAATATGGGCATCGATGTGCTTATTGACGCGAGATATCACATGTTCGATTGTCTGCAGAACTACGGCATTGCTGCAGATGCACCTCTGATGACCGAAATGATCTCGAGTGACCAGGCAACCCGGCTTCTTTCGTCTTCCTTAAATGTCAATTCACACATGAAGACATCGCTCACGAATGACATCCATGAGGCCGAGCTCTCTGATCTTCAACTAAAACTAGAGCTTGTACAAGATGGGGTTGAAATGCTCGACCTGGGCGTAGTTTTCCAACGTGATAGGAGTCGAGAGACGTTTGTTGAAAAGTGGGGGTTGACATAAAGCATTCAGTGTTTGACCACGGCCTCACCTAAGAAACTTGTATGGTAATGACTACAAGATAAAAAGGAAGCTTGCAGAGCTTTGCAGGTGCTAATGGCTGTCTTTGGGCTATCTTTTTCTTGTTTTCTTTCTTTTCATTTCATCGCTTTTCTTTTCCTTCCTTATAAAAACTCTTAATTCATTGAATTTAAAGAAGAGGCTGAATGGAAAAGGATAAACCAAACTGGCTGGAAAGGATTGTGAATTTCCATTCTAAGTTTATCATACATGACAATGAACTGCGCCTCTCCATGTGGCGGGTAATAAGGCAATTTATGATATAGTCCTGTGCCCCATAATTAAATCACGCGGCTATTGTCCACATGGTCTACCTAGAACACTGATGGGTGCCTTAGATGCCCGTGTTCACTGGCTCGGAACTTGATCCTGCACGTCATGCATACCTGTCCATAATATTGGCATTGCCGCAGCCCCTGTGCATTGAAGTCCTCTTATATCGGCAACCTATCACAAAGGAATAAAGAAGGATGGGAGAGAGTTTCATCCCCAGAAAACTTGTGTGGTGTAATATGTTCTTGAGACGATATTCTTTTTCTTTACTCATGATTATTGTCGTCTTTCCTGTTTGGCTTTTCTCTGCCTTACCTGCCCGCCTGACTTGGAATATGTCCTGTGACTGTTAATTAGCCGTACCTATGATGGCCACAATGGCCGCCTTGACGTCCGTTGCCTCATCTTTGCCCCCATGCATAGTGTTGGTACAGGAACTTTAGCAAATGTAGCCTCGATTGATAGGCATGTTAGGCGGCAAGATACTAATACTAGTACTAGGCTCTCTATCAACGATTTGGCAGCAGCATTTCCTTTATAGTGGCGCTAATTCCATCTTATGTCCCGATATGAGCTGCCTCGTTCACCTCTCCTTGTTATTTTGACTATGAGTAGCGTTTTGTCTCCTTTGTTCCCTTGTGATGTTTCGTGGGCACCGAGAAAGGGGCGCCGTTCATCGTTTTATCTATACAATGACCTCCAGATGTCAGCGCCCTTTATATATATCTATATTTATCATTCCTCCCTATCCTCCCATCTTTGCTTCCCAAAATGACATGCGCCTAATAATTAGGAGTGTAGAACCCATGACTCTAGTCACCGATCTCTTGTTCATGACATTGTTGGGTTGCTTGTTCACTTGACTTACAAGCAAAGCACAAGACGGTAGACCATACCTATCTTCCTGATCATTACCCAGGATATGCAGCATCCGTTTCTTTTCTTTCTTTCTTTCTTTTTTTTTTCAAATCTCATTTGTCTCAGGGGTGTCTATTCATTAGAGTCGACGTTTGTGCTCAAAGGGCCTTAGGGTCATTATATTTAGCGTTCCTAGTTCACCTAAGGTCAGAAGTTATCTCCGTTGTCCACTAACACTCCGCATTCCATCCTGTGGCCATCCTCGAGCCCTTCAGCGTTTAATTTTTACCCCAAAGTACCAAGGCGCCTTTGGCTACAAGACTGGCAAGCTTGTCCGATGGAAGTTCGAACCAAAAAAATCATTCGGACTCGCATCTTTGGCACAGGCACTCGTGGCCATTCTCTAACACGGGATCCCGGGGTCCTCTATATTCGACATGCCCAGCCGAAGAATCCACGTATGATGGATCTCCCTCGATACAAAATCATCGAGCCGAGAAAGCCCAGGGAAGCAAAAGTGCCCTCAAACATTTTCATGAGATCATCGCCATTGCGAAGCCGGCCGCAAAGATTTCGCTTTCCGCTCCTTGATAGGACTGCAGAATCAGACCAAGATTCAGAAACTGAATCGGAAGTGGAGTGGGAATCAAGCTCTGATGAAGTTAGCATAGACTCAGATAAGGAAAGTGTATGCAGGCCAAGAGGGCGCCACCGATCCCGTCATAAGCTTGTTGCCGGAAAGCCTGAAAACGAAAGGGGGGCACAGCGGAGGACTCTGCGGTCCCCTCCTCCAAAGACACGACTATTTCGGTCCCCAACAAAGGTCTGTTTCGGATCAGACATTGAAGTAGATGGGGCTGATGTCTCTCCTCACTATCCTCGATCACGGCGGCCGTCCGGGAGCCTTCGCCAACTGAGAGATATGACGCTGACCTCTCAACACGAATACCCTAGACGAAAAGCCAGGGTCGTTGAAGTCCATAACCATCATCGCGCCAGTCCCTGCGAAGAGCGGGTCCGCAGCCCGGACCGCCGAAAAGTGCGTTTCGCGAGTGACGTAGAGTACGTGAAGAAAACCAACAGAGCCAGAGATACTAGAGCCAGAGAACGAGGGTGTTACCACGTTAGACCCCATCGCCACGGTCCGTCCATCAGCGGTCCCGACCGTAACTATGGCACAGCGGATAGTGGAGCGACCTATCGCCTTTGTTCACCGGAAAGGTCGTTAATGGGACGTTGTCGAAGAACCAGTGCATCTAGTGAGCGTGCTCGGCCTCGTATTATCCACGTTGGTAATCGTCAAATGTCAGAAGCAGCGGAACGTATACGCAAAGAAGCGTGGAGGCGACATAGCCGGGAGGGTTTACTGCGCGACATGAAGTTCCAAAGTGGCTGGCGCCGTTATACGATCTGATGACCGGATAATTTATAATAGGGGCAGCTGAGAATATGGCTGTTTTGACGAGGGCTATTTTAGTCTTTATCCTAGGCGTGTTGGATGGATTGGAAACTGTATGTTGCATGGCATGGGTGGGTGGTCTGGAAGTGTTGGAATGTCCAATCAAAGTGAGGGTTCACTTTACGTTTGGGTTTGGGCAGGCGTCAGGTTTTCCGATGATAGTAGTATTGTTCAGGTCATTGAACTATGGCAGCTCGCGTGTCCATCGATTAGGTACATTATAGGTGAATAGTAATTTTGATCACTTTTAACCCTTCTGTGCAGACGTGTTTCACCTCGAAGCTTGGGGGTTGGGTCCATATGGTCGGGGGGACCTTTGAACCCAGTAAGCACAAGAACGAGCGAGGGCCGTTTATCATGTGATTTTTTTAATCCTAGGATGTACGTATCAGTCAAAATCCCTCATTCTGTACCACAGGTCTCCCCCAGCCAGATGCTTCGGTTACTTCGAAGGTTTGGGATATTGGCATTCATAAAATAATCCTCATATAAATTGGACTTCTGAACTCCCGCAACAGGGAGATTGCCCATGCATTGAACAAAGCCCTGTGGATGGGTTGGTTATGTTAATGTTTCAGGCCTATAACTCCATGTTTTTCTATTTTCACACCCCACCTACGTGGCTAGGATATACTCGATCTTACCCCTCCTCACCTGTTTCCCTAGACACCTACGTGCCATCTTTTACCACTCAACTCAGCCAGTGTCGGTATAGTAATGTTTGCACCTTGGGCTTAGTCCCACAATGCACGCCCATCCGACTGTTTGGTATACACTTGTAGGCCAGGTGTATCGTTCCGCGTTACTATATTCGTTCTATCAAAAGTCTACAGCTTGTCGCAATGACGGGGTACAGCTCCAAGGATGAAGGACCTCATGGTTCGCAGTCGGACGTAGTTTCCCGGTGGGCACAATCCGACCTGGAACCCGCGAGAGAGGACAAGGAAGGTGCCTTGAGGAGCGATTATATCGATCAAATGCCTCCGGTTTCGGCACTAAGACTACTCTGCGTTTATATCGAGCTGCTTGTTAAGCAGACTATTGACGAACTGGACGACTGCCAGGTAGATGCTTCTTCCCTAGCCCAGGACAGGGCTCAAGGTGATGGCGTGTCCAGCGGGGAAGCCACCCCCGTAGGCGGTACCGAGATACATTGCTGCCCTGCAGGTTATAATGATGCAGGACGCGATCTTATCCAACTGGACATACTTTCTAAGAGGTTTCTCTCAAAGCGCGTGCCTTCAATCACATTAAAAGACTATCTCCTACGGCTTCATCGCTACTGCCCAATGTCAACAGCCGTCTATCTTGCTACAAGCATGTACCTCACCCGAATGGTTACTGTCGAGAGAACCATATCACTGAACCACAGGAACATGCATCGTTTAGTCCTTGCTGGTCTTCGAGTAGCCATGAAAACGCTAGAAGATCTTAGTTATCCCCATAGCCGCATTGCAAAGGTTGGTGGAGTGACTGAACGCGAACTTTCGAAGCTCGAGATCAGCTTTTGCTTTCTGGTTGATTTTGAGTTGCGAGTCGATGTTTATATGCTCACCAATCAGGCAAGGGCTCTCGTGGAGAATGTCGGCCATCACAGTGATATTGCCAGTTAGTATACTTTCGCCTGTGGTCAAGATGATGCTGCCAACTCCGTGTATGAATTTGCTGTTTACTGCATGTAAGCCGATGGCTTTCAGGATACCCATGGTATTTCCTCTCCTTTGTGTCTTCTATGTTGGATAGTCAACCTATGCGAATATCCCACGTGATACACATTGATCCAGGTACTACTAGTAGTAGTAGCATCACAATGTGGTTGCCTAATTCAATCAGTATCTTCTTTCCACCATCTCTGACGGCTGAGTAATCCGGTTTTGGTTAGTTAGCTAATGGGTTCAAAGCAAATACGCACAGGTCTAGACTGTTCATTAAATGGATATGGGATGATTATTTCTGAGTGTTTCTGAGGGTCAAAAATATTGATAGTCGAGTAAATAACGATTAATTACTTTCATAAACTACTGCTTCAACTGCGAGCCGGTGATCTCTTAGTGTCCGCGGAGAGTTTTCCCCCGACCCAAGAAAAAGAAGTAGCCTCACCCTTCAAGTCCCTAGTATATTCTCTCTCGGTTTCCTTTTTCTCCTCCCCACAATCTCCGGTTCTTGCATCACATATTATCGCATCTACCTGCGCGGATTTGTCGATTAAAAGGACTGGTTGTTTATTTTGATTCAGCAATGCTTCTTTAGATCGAGAACCTGTCACCGCCGAACGAGTCTCCCTGTGCACAGATTAGCTTGTCACACTTTCTCCCACCCTCAAGGACCATTACAGGCGCCCTCCCCTCTTGGAAAGATCTTCCCGGGATCGTAGACAGAAATGTCCTCCGGGAATTCTTCAACAGAAACGCACACCAACGGCAGTTTTGCAACACTGGGCTCAAGTCCACCCTCCACACTCGGCAGCAAAGGCAGAGCCATCCCCCCGAAGGTTACCCAGGAAGATGCCAGTGTTGAGCTCAGGACAATGAGCTCAGAGCGTGGAGCTGTGAGGGGGTCAATCCCCCTTGGTGAAGATATCATGCAGATTGCCCGAATAGGGGAGATTTCTGCTATGCAAAGATTATTCGACGAGAAGAAGTTCAGCGCCAACCATAAGGATGAGGAAGGGATCACCCCATTACACGTGCGTATCTCTGTCATCTTCGGTACCTTTCATGCATGTGGTATCAGTGGTTGGAACATTTATTGACCGGATGACTTCGCTTCTAGTGGGCTGCGATCAACAATCAGTACGCCATGTGCAAGTTCTTGCTAGACTCCGGCGCCGACGTCAATGCCAAAGGAGGCGAATCTGTGGCTACACCAGCGATGTGGGCAGCTCAACGGTGTCACTACTATATCGTCCACCTTCTGCTTCAACAGGGCGCCGACCCTCTCCTTACCGACGTCCAAGGCTACAACATTCTTCACCTGGCTACAATTGATGGAAATGCCTTCTTACTGGTGCTACTTCTGCATCAAGAAATACCAGTGGACGTCGTCGACCAACAAGGGCATACGGGCTTGATGTGGGCCGCTTACAAGGGGTACCCTGCCTTGGTGGATTTATTCCTGCGATGGGGCGCTAATGCCAATGCTGTCGATGAGAGTGGGCTTACTCCCCTCCATTGGGCCCTCGTGAAAGGGTCCTTGCCCTGTGTCCTAAAATTGATCGAGTATGGCGCGGATAAGTTTGCAAAGACCAGGGATGGTAAAACGCCGGCAGTTGTGGCGGGGGAAATGAATACCACGCGCGTGTGGTATCGTGCCTTGGATGAATATGGTTATGACTTCGATGGGAACGCGAAGGTTCTCTCTTCTGGGTTAACTTCTTGGGCACGTAACAAGAACTTAATGTCCAAGTTCTTTTTCCTCTGGCCTTTCGCCATTGTTTTCGCCGCCGTGTGGGTACTGAGCAGCATGGTGATCTACGCTGCCATTCCTATGATGCTTGTGATCGTCTTTGGGCTACAATGGGTAGCGCAGAAGGTCGCCAGCCAGGGTCCTTCCGAATATCGGATTCTGCAAAAAACGGTAAGTTTGGCCTGCCTTAAAGACTATTGTTCCGTTGTTGATTTGCAGATTAGCCTTATTTATCTGGCGTTTTTGCAGGCTCCCTATTCTGGGTGGGCTTCAGATACGTCTTTTACGTACTTCCTGGTATGTCTTGTGTTAAGAACTCTCGATTATCCCGTGGGGAAAGTCTTACTAAACATTGATGGATCTCTAGTGACTTACTCTACATCTCCGATACTTAACGTGCTGTTTGCTATATTTTTCTGCCTGACAACTTATTTTTACATATACTCGATGGTCGAAGACCCTGGGTTCGTTCCAAAACTTGACAGCAGAAACCAACAAAGAGCAGTCATTACGGAGCTCTTCGAACAGTGGAAGTTCGACGAAGAGAATTTCTGCGTTAGTTGCATGGTCCGAAGGCCCTTGCGAAGCAAGCATTGCAAGCGCTGTGCGCGCTGCGTTGCGAAACATGACCAGTGAGTATTTACTTAAAAGCTTGTGCAAGCCACGTGCTAAAGCCAAATAGCCATTGTCCTTGGATTGATAATTGCGTCGGGGCCAATAACCTACGCCATTTTGTTCTATATATTACCTGCTTGGAGGTTGGCATTGTCCTTTTCGTGAAGCTAACCTTCAATTGTAAGTCTACTTTCCTCTTCATTTGCATAAGCAGCCTAACCAGGATTTTCTAGATATCGATAGCTTGCCAGCACCCGTGCAGCCCCAGTGTAACATCATCAACGAGACTCTTTGTGACTTTGTGCTCCGTGATACGTTTACTCTTGTTCTCGATCTATGGGTATGCATTCAACTGGTCTGGATCACCATGCTTGTTGCCGTCCAGATGATCCAAATTTCTCGTAATCAGACGACATACGAGAACATGAGAGGGCACTCGGTTGACAGAAGCTATCCTAGCTCGCGGGCTTTTGCCTCTGCAGTAATGGCTGGGACAACCTCGCTCAATGCTGCCAGTCTATCGCCTTCTGGTCAAGGTCCGAATCCCGCCCTTACCCGAGGTGCTCCTCGCCATCGGAAACATGGTTGCTTGCAGCAATGGTCGTCTCTTCTTGGCATTGATACGTTTTTTGCTACTGCGCGAGATGGATTGCGTGACGGCCCACGTGCAGTCCGGCCCAAGAACCCGTTCTCGCGGGGCGTTGTCGCCAATTGTCGAGATTTCTGGTGTGACCCAGCTCCGTACTTTGGAAAACGAGAACCAGGCGCAGCTATGCTTGGTGGTGAAGTGATTAACTATAACCGCATGTATGAGACTCCATCCTGGATACATAGTGGTGGTGGGTATCGGAGTCTGGCAGCTGAAGACCCGGAACAAGGTGTCTAAGTATGGATTTCCGTCGTTGGATGGACAGATCCTAGTATGTGTTCCTGTGACCGGCTCTAGAAAGCACTGCATTCTTCAAGCGCAATTTTATGATATCGGACGACACTGCATTGATACGCCTGGTTGAGTCAAATTTTCATGGATGGTGTACCTATTTACTCCTTTGCTTTCCTTGTATTATGTTGTGCGTAACTATTTCGTCTCGCGCTTTCCGTTATAGAGTCATTGCCGAGCCTCGCCAGCTCCTACCTAATATGCTCCTGTTCAGAATAAATTCCATCCGATTTCCTTTGATATCGGCGCGAGCTGTGTAATGAAGTTTTGCCATTTTGTATTGAAATTTCTAACGTACTGTATACGATAGCGCTTCTTAGGTTTAGGATGAAGCCAATTGCTTACTGCGAGCAGGTCAAGGGCCGTTGGCTCTGGTGTAAGTAAGCAATACAATTGTGGACAGATCAGCGTTGAAGCAATCAACCAATGTTATTTCATAACTGATATACCTGGGCAGAGTTCACCACAGCCTAAGCTATACTTATATCAATTCAAGGGTTAAGAGATAACAGAACAGACATAACTGTTTAAGTCCATGGTTAGGATCGGATTTTAATACTTATGTACGTCATGGTAAAAAGGGGAGGAGACTTAGATAGTGTAGGACGAAGCCTGGTCAAGTCTAGTTCATTCAATTATACAAGGGTGAGAGAGGGCTACGAAAACTTGGGCCAAGTACTGAGCCTCGTTTCTCGGCGCAATCTAACGAGAATGGATTAACAGGTACCTATATAATCAAGGGTCCTTCTCTTCAATGCAACTCAAGTGCGATCGATCGGCTAATGCATTCGCTCTTAGTTTTGCCTGCAGTACTTCTAGTAAGCACTCTTCCGACGATACGCAGCTGAGGCGCCCAATTGGTCTACCATTCGGCAGGAAATACTGTGTATCAAACCAATGATGTCGAGCCTAAGGTATCAGTACCACTGGCAGTGATCAATCCCAGATAGGTTAAGTCCCATACCTTTCCAAGGTTCATTTCAACCATACCCGTCCGTACGTATACATACCATACGTATATACAAAGAGCCGAAACATCCGATGTCGCAAGAAAACCCAGCTCTAGCGCGAAGTCAATTTGTCGCACTAAGATCTTATCTCGGAGGGAGGTTCTAAAACGGAAAATTTTTATCTGATTCCCATTGTTCTTCAGTCGTTATCACTTGGTACTATAATATTTACCAGTCTGCGAGAATATTCTGGGTCTGGCTTGTTGCTCGCTTAGATTGATTAGATGAAGCTGATGTTGATGTTGTCTTATCTGATGCGCTATATCCATGGTTGGAAATACGACCCAAACCCAAGTACCAAGGCCTGGTATTCAACTCACCTAAAACGTCACCACGAGCCTTACAACTCCGCCGTAGCGCAGTCCCTGACCGTCCCTGACATTATTCTGCCTATGATCATCCCTGTCGGAGTTGTAGATGGGCTGGTCTGGAATATGCGCATACTCTGTAGCTACTAGTCAACCGCGCAGCCAAGGAGCTAGCCATCTAACCGGTTGTGACCAAGAGAGACCTGCAGCAAAACAAGCGGAAGGGGAAGAAATGAAGAAGGATGGACCCAAAACAATAACAACAACCACAACCACAATAATAAAATAATAAACAAGAAAAAAAAGAAGAAGAAGAATAAACAAATAGATGACACCTAGTAAGAGAGATAAAAGGATAAGAGACAGAGTTTAGTCCTGTAGTCCCTTTCCCCAGAGCGACACAAGGCTTTGTCTATAACGAGGATGTGATCAACATTGTCGCTTTGGGCCGACTTGTCCATGTACCGACACCCCATTACGGAGTACATAGAGAAAACGTGATCATCGCCGGAATATCTGAGACAGGTTATGTTCTCCGAGGCAGGTGTGGGTGGCATGATGGTCTGTAAATTTCCTCACGTTTCCATAAACGAACGAATGATTGAGTGATTTAGTCCCAGGTCAAAAATAACTGGAGGAAGAGAATGGGTCTGGAGGTATGGTAGGTGGGAACTGAGGATCCGCATTAAATTATCAATCAATAATCAATCGGTTACTCAATCAAGCAGTTAGGGTGTATCCCCGTGCAAAAGACCTTAAAAACCGAGTCAAAAGCTAATTAGTAGAGCGCGAGTGACTAACTGAATTGATGCCATAATTTAGATAGGGGCAGTAGCCAAAGAGAGTCTGTATTTCTATTTAAGGGAAGGGGCTAAGTGTAATTTGTAAACGAAAGGGATATCACTTCTGCAGGTCCATCGCACAGAAAGAAAAAAAAAAGAAAAGAAAAAATTTCAAAAATCAAAAATCAAGATATAACCCCCCCGCCCCCCGGCTCGGTCATCACTCGTAATCAATCAGTGGGTCCTATTTCTTCTGGCTCCTTATCCGGTTAGTGGTTCCTTGGCATCGGGCGAAGCCAAATAAAGACGACGTGGGAGAAAAGAGCCGGAGGCGCGCCAGCCTCAGCCGTGGTCAATGGTCTTTGTTAATTTCCAGTTGATGGAACTGATTCGTATTTGTGGAATGGCGCCATCTGATAACGAAAATATTTTATCTGATCAGATTATCTGGCGTCATCAAAATGCCCACCTCAACCAATTGATGTCATTTCCTTTTTTCTCGTTCCCCGTCTTCTCTTCCTTTGAATTGCCATTTTCTGTCTATTGTTTTCATTTTATAAACTGGACGGTCTCTTTCTGCAACCTTTTTTTTATCAACTATCAATAGCCCTGTGACTTTTTGTATCTTCTCGTCATCCTCCTTTCCGAGTTCCGGACATGTTGGGGTATTCTGTGCTGTAATGAATATCGCACAGTGACCAATAAGCCTGGCACCAGCGGGTCTGCGTAGGAAGTAGCTTTGTGGCTAATCCACTGTTCAGGCATCCCCATGCAGAATTCGAGTTGGAATCAATCTTTTTACCATGAGAGCGGTGAACTCGTCAAGCAATTCTCGTGTTTTGCTTCAGCCTTTGTACATTTCTTGCAAAATCAATCATAGCTACATAGTCAAACAAAAATATAAAAGAGTATAGTGTAAAATATAGTCTATGCATAGTAGAACAGGTATCCAACAAATAAAATATCGTATACCAGTGCGATTTTGTTCTGGTATGTTTCCTTTTCTCCCCCCCCCCCCTTTTTTTTTCTTTTCTTTCTCAATCTCATTTTGCCCCTTCTGTCGATCCTCGGCTCATCCTTTCGTTGGGAAACAATCTTCTTTAGCGCCCAAAAAGCGCAAAAGAAGCGGACCCAAAGATCTTCGACTTAACAGACCCTTGTTCTTATTTCAAGTGGCCCTTTACAGCATAGCGCGGATATGAGTGGTGTCCGGCACCGCCGTTCCCGCAAACTCGCCTCCAAAGATCGAGTTCACCATCTCGCCACTGCGTGACGCTAAGATGGACAACAGACTGTCACTCAGTCCATGCGTCTGCTCATTGCAACCTTGTAGCCAGATTCCAGCCTGCGTGTTAACCTTGCTTGGGTCCAGTTCAACACGGTATTCTCTGTTGGGAGTCCAGGCTTCCTGGCCCGCGGGACGCAGGTGCTGTAAGCTCTTCAGAAGTTGCTCGTGCGCATTGCGATTGTAACCTGTAGCCACCATAAGTGCGTCCACCTCCAATGTTTCCTTGCCGTTACCAACAAGGCTGTCCTTCTCATCTTTCACAGCCCGAACATGAAGCCGCATCCGCCTGTGTGGTCCGTAATGCTCAACTCGGGTGATCTTACGGCCAGGGAGGACGCGATGTTGCCATTGTGTCTCATCGGGATTTTGGACCCTCTGTAGGTACATGTCATTGAAGATCTGCTCAATTAATTCAAGTCGGACGACACTATAGTTGGTTGCCTTGTCAGCAGCGAGGGAGCGCTGGCGTTCGGCAGGGGAGAGGCTGAAGAATTTATCGACCCGTTCGGGGTTGAAGACTTCGTTGACACTATATTCTCCGTATTAGTTATCGTTGCTGTTGTTGTGGGGAGGAGCACCAAAGACATCCACTTACAATGGTGAATCATCACTGGGTCGCATAGAAGTGTCTCGCATAATCAGCGTCGTCTTCGAGTTCGGGTAGCGTTTTTGAAGGTCGTGGAAGATCTCCGCGGCACTTTGACCGCTGCCCAGTACAGCAATGTTGTAAGCCTCTCGGCTGTCCTTTAGCATGGCAGGTAAAGTAGTACAGTACTTGGACGAATGCATGATTCTTGGGTCCTGGGGTAGCTCCTTGGGAAGCTTCGCAGTACCACCAATGGCAACGACAACTTTGCGTGCCATCCTGGCAGAGATCTCGCCCGTTTCTAAGTTCCGAGATTTGACCGTGAAGAAGTCTACGAGCGTGCTACTCGGGTTTGTCTTCCCAGGGATCACTTCGATAACTTCTTCGCCGTAGCTCACCACATGTGCGAACCTCTGTGCACACCACCGCATATAATCTTCAAACTCCATCCGAGCCGGGAGGAAGGTGCTCAGGTTGGTGAAGTGAATCAGGCGGTCTTTCTGGTGAAGATAGTTGAGGAAAGTAAAGCTGCTGCGTGGATCCCGCATGGTTGCCAGATCCTTGATGAAGGAAATCTGCATCTTTGAGCCAGGAACCAGCATACCCGAGTGCCATGCGAATTGTTTCTGTCGCTCCAGGAAGCAGACCTTGGGCTGCCAATTGGAATTGGAAGCGGTCTTGTTCAAGCACGGATCCAAGGCATCGTGAAGAGCAATTGCGATAGCCAAAGATGCCGGCCCAAAACCCACACAGAGGAGATCGTGAAGTTCATCCTTGGGTGTAGCTTTCAAGCGGGGTGGCTCTCCAGAAGACCGCTGTTGCGTGAGGGGCATCTTAGGATAGGTACGGGCGCCAATCTCTAGCTTCCTTTCCACCGGCTCCATGGATGAGGGTTGAGTCGAATCGAGATAGTACGAAGAAGATCAGTAAGCGAGAGGAAAGAAACGATATGGGCCAAAACAGACGGTAGGT